AGATTTAACAAATTTGTTTCTTTTTTTTTTCCTGAACCTTGGGAATCGGAAGCCAGAAATTGTCGATTGGAATCGACTGCAATCTCGATTAAGATGTTCTGAATGCCGGAGTTCCTCAGGAGTGGGGTTCTGAATGTGTTCAAGAGATCTGCAACTTTGAAGTATACAAAATTTTTGCTGGCAACAGCTTGTAGAAAGGTTGAAGGACTAAAAGCTCCTGGAAAATTTATCACTCTATTTAAGAAAGCAAATAATTGCAGCATACACTCTAGGGGCCACAACACCTTGCATTATGCCTTTTTGGGTAAGGACTAAGGAGTTTCAAGCACTTCTACAACCCAACAAGCAAAATCACCCATACAAAAGGTGGATTGAGAATTGTTCTTCCGAAAGCTTTCAGGCACGGCATTGATTGCAATTTGCATCTATTGTTTTTAGCGGTCAACTTGATTATTCTATACTTATTAAAGTCTTCTGGGAAAAATATCATTATATAAATAGCCTAAATTCCACAGCTTAACTATTGATTCTTTGATTTTAGGCATCAGCTCTGCAAACCAAAGACTTGCTGGATAAACTTAGTATATCTTTGAGAGGCGATGAACTAAACATCATTGAGAAGCTTTTATCACCGGGCCATGAAACTGGAAATAGAGTTCTTCTATGCTGAACCGCTTATTCAGCCCACTGTAGTGCCTCAGACTAAGGAGCATGACCCTGCACAAGATCGTTTTATGTTATTTTCTGACTTTGATCTTACGTGCATAGTTCGACAAGAAACGAATTTTTCAGAGGGCTTTGATTCTGAGTTTTTTTGGGGGAGTTACTGGGTTGGGCAAGAGGAAGAATAGGTGATAAGTTTTGGTGGCGGAAGGTGATAGAAATGGCAGTGGCGGTCTTGACTTTCAAACTTGGAGCTACGGAAATTGATTTTTAAAGTTCAAATTATGTTGGGGGTTCTTGTTCTTTGTTAAAATTTTAAATTTAGTTTTTTATTATAATTTATATACATTTTGATTTGATTTGATGATATTAATTCAGTTATTAATTTCGTTAATTTTATATTATTAACAATATTTATGTGGATATTAATTTTGTTGACCTGATATTATATTTGTTTATGTGATAATTTGCATGGATAAAATTTAAATTTAAATTTAAATTTTTTTAATATAATTTTATAAAAACTATGTTATTGTACATTGATAATGTGAGTCTAATTATTAATAAAAAAATATTTTTTTTTTTTTAAAAAAATCAATATTTTGAATTTGTTAACATTTTTTCATATTTTTAAAATATTAAAATTAAAATTTTTAAAGTAGTTTAAAATTTTTAAAATTAATATTGTTTTTGGATTTTTTAAAATTAGATTTTATTTTTTAAAAATTCAATATTTTGATTTTTTAAAAAAATTTCAATTTTTTTAAAAAATATTAAATTTGAATTTTTTTTAATATTTGAATTTTTTAAAATTTTCATTTTTTAAAAATTTTAACATTTTTATTTAAGCAAAATATTTAACTTTCTTATTTTGTAATTCTTTGGAATTCTTATAAAATTTTCTATATTTTTAATCTTTATGTTTTTTATAAAATTGTTATATGTTTTTTTAATTTTTTATGTTTTTAAAAAGAGTATAAATTTTAAAAATTTTCTACACGTTCCTTTATGCTTTTTCATGAAGAATAAATCAAAATTATAAGTTTTTCATGCTTCGCTATTACTCTATTTTACATTAAATTTTTACACTCTTCTATTTCAAATATACCAAAGCAGAATAAATTTTAAAAGATTTGTACCTTCTTAATAATTTATTTAATTGTTTACATATTAAAATTTTATAAAAAACAAAAAATAAAAAATATATAGAAAATTTATAAAACTAAAAAATTTTAATAAAATATATTAAATACTTTTAGACATAAAATGAAATTTTTCAAAAAAATAATTTACAAAATGAGTTTTGGTTCTTTTTCATTTAGATTGTTTTTTATTTGTTGGCTTTTTTTGGTGGTTGTTTGCTGGTGGGAATAATAGTGATAACTCAAAATGGGGAAGGGGAGGTTTAGTTTAGAGTCCAGTGATTGATGGGGAAAACCAGCTGATGCTCCAGTATAAACACCCAATCGTAACTTGACCTTACTTGGACCCAGCAAACACTCGACAATCCTCAGTTTGTTGTTGATGGGTCTGTTCTAACTTCATCAGTAAAGCAGTTTAGTCATTTTTTTATTAGTTTTTTCATTAATTGATGATTAATCTTCTTGATGAGCGTAAAATTTGAATGAAATTTAAAAATATTTTAAATGTAATTTGAATTTCAATAAGCTTTTGTTGCAAGTTTTTGGATAGTTTTTTGTTTTCTTTCTTTGATTCTTTCACAATGAATTATTTGTACTTTGACTGTGTTGATCAATTTAAAATTTATAATCTACTTAAAAAATTATTGTAGGTAAATTAGTGACTGATTTTTGGTTTTTTATGAGAAAAAAAAACAACATTTTGAGCATAATTTATATTTTTAATATTATTTTATTTTTTCACTTCAAATGTGTTTATCAAACAAATAAAAAATCACCTTAACTACAACAATTCATTGTATTATGCGAGATAACAGCACATGTGTTTTAATTTTTTTTTCATCTAAAAAAATCTTAAATTATTATAAATTTATAATGTTTAATTTTGAGTTGATTAAAATAATATGTATAATCTTGAATTGAATAATACCCAAATATTTAGTGCTAAATTTAACATTTAGCTGAATATTAATGTGATGTTATCAATGCATTATCAGAAATTTTGCTATACTTGTTCGCAGTCAGTTTCAGTAGACGCAGTCAGTTTCAGTAGACGCAGTCGGTGGCTCCAAATCTTTGCAAGTAATATTCTTCTGTTTCAAAGTAAAATCTTTATCCCCTTTAATTTTGAATCTCGGTTATAGTTTTGTGAACTACCATTGTAATTTGCTTCTATTTCCATGCAATGATGATATGCATTGATCAGTATTATATTGGTGTTGGGCACCCCATCTTTGTGTGCCTTACACCATTTCCCAGGTTGCTAGATTGTATGCTTCTATTTTCTTGGGTGTCTATGTTTTTCACTGTCTACATGTATTAAATGAAAAGTTTTGTCAATAAAACCTAGGATTCCTGGATGTGCAGTGATTTTCTATATAGATGTGGATGGTATTTGATATAATTCGGAGGAAGGAGAGCAAACATTTGGAAAAATTATTAAGTTATAATTGGCAGGGCTATTAAACATTTTGATAATGCAGAAAGTTTCCATGGCCAGCTATTGCATAAATATTTTTTTCTATGGACATATTGATTCGTTTTCTTTTTATTGATGTTCATGAGCAGCTCGGCAGGCATTTCGTCGGGAAGAAGAGTTACAGTTCTACCACTTACCTATTTGATCAAGTTTCTCTTTTTTCATACCTCCTTTTGGTGTTACTACCTTTCTAAAGAATCACTTTCAAAATTCTATCTGCATTTTGTTAATATTTTTTAGTGTTTAATTATTATGCTTTACACTTGGCAACTTGCCCTAAATCTCTCTTTTACTTGTCTGCTCATATAGGGCAAGAGTAGCTATGGTGACTCAAATATAATGGATCCTGTTCTGTTTCCAACAGGTCGGGTTATCATAAAGGTATATCTAGTGAAATCCCATGTTCTTTTTTTCTTATAATATTCTTGTTTTAGATAGTCAAATTCGCTGACTGGAGATAGATTGACACAGGGGAACAAGAGGACACCACAGCACTTTGTTGGACGTAAGGCTGTTGTAACTACACAATGCTTGAATGGATGGTTAGTCGCCATCTTTCCTCTTCCAACGAGAATTGATAAATTGACATGTTAGCAATATAGGATTCTACATTTATGTCTGTTGATGGTGCTTTTGGTTGGTGGGATGAGTGATGATTCGGAAGTTGTACGACGCATGATTTGTACTTGCAGCAGGAAAGCATGGTCAGAGACATTGGAGTTGGTTATTCAAAACACGTTTCAAGGCTTAAGTTAGTTAAGTAGATAGGGTTTTTTAAGGAAGAAAGTGAGTTACAGAAATTGTTAAGGAAGCTTAGAGGAGAAGGGTTCAGAGTTTTTGCCGTACCTGAATCTTCTTTTTACTTTTTATATAAAAGAAAATTGATAGATATCACCAAAGCTTTTGATCGTTAATAGTAAATCTATATGAAGTTCAAAGAAAAATCATGTAGGTGAGTGTAAACTGTATTTAATTATTCATAATCAACATGAATTACATTTAATGATTCATAATAAATTAAAAATAAGTTGATTTGTTGTGAGTAATACTTTAATAGGCCGTTGGTAGCTGTACGAGTTTTTTATAGGCGAGGGCGAGCCCGCTTTGTGATAAGAAATCTGGATATCGATCTTCTTTTATGGTGACGTGACAATCGAATGTATACTAATTTGACGAGCATAATAATTGACTATATTGACTGAGTGGGAAGGTATAAAGGTGTCTTTTTACTTCTTGAAAATCCTGCAATTCTTACCGGAGTCTCTCTTTCTCACTCTACTAATGTTTGCAAAATCTTGAATCAACTCATATTCCTCTGCCGAGATAAAAGTCTATGTAGATGCTAATGTATCAATTTGCATGTGATTATCTATTGGTTGGCAAGATAGAGTTTAGGTGACATTGGCCTGAATATTTCCGGTGCTATTATTTGGGAGTATGCTTTGGAGTTTGGAGTTTGGATAGAGATTGATGGAAGGTATCCTGTTTTGAGAACTTGAGATTGTGTTACATGTTTGTTTGTTTGTTCATAGTAAGACACAGTGGACAACACCATAGACAGGGAATCACGATAAAGATGTTTTCTTATATTTCTGGATTATGCTAAAATATTTCAGCCCGAGTCTGTCAAAGTATCTTTCAAGGCAAAGTAAAAAATGATCCTTCTTGCTTATTACAATTTTCATTTGCATAGTGTTAAATTGCAGTATCGCTCGGTTGCCAAAGTTCCAGACCATACATCCTCGAAGCCAATGTCAAGCAAGATGGGACCAAACTAGTTGTAGACCTGCAATTCATATAAAATGGGGGCAAGTGATACTTTGTTGCCGGTATGCCACGGTTCAATATTTAACCTAACTTGAAAATATTTCTCTACCATTGTTATAGTTTTTCATGAGTCCAAAATTGTGGTACAAGCCTTGTAAATTACAGAACAAGTGCAAGAAAATGGCAAAAAATGTTTGAACGCAAAAGGATATTAAGGAACCTCACAGTGCGACAATTGCAATTCTAACATCAAATTCTGCCCCTATGCTGATAAAGGCTTATAAACGAAATTGAAAAAAGAAGATAACAGACAAAAGATGACCTCACTTCTAGTGTTGGAATTTCACAACTCAGCAAGTCCTTATCAACCTAACAAAACCTAACAACTAGTTTGCATAATGCAAATTGATGTTTCTACGGTAGCATTAAGAACATTCAATTTAAATTAGGTGCCACTGTTAATCAGATTAGGGAATAGGGTACACTCTCCTTTGACAACATGAAATTGCACGTTGAATAAATGGAAGCAGCAGCTGCCCTTAGCCAATTCCCTGTCAAAGCTGTCCCCCATCACCGATCTGCACGAGAACATGACTACATTGTAAAATGATTTGTGAACATCTGCTTCAACCAGAGCTAAATGTGATGAGATAAACAAAAAATCTCAATAAAAGTTCCAATCAACCAGTCAACACAAAATGCAGGAACAAGCAGATGGGTATAGTTAGATGTTGATATCAGCTAAATTCTTGAGCTATATTAAGCTACTAGCACATATACAAGGTCTTTCTGGTGGGGGTGGCAGTTGACATGATCCAAGTATAGGGTCCGAGATTGAATGTCAGATTGCAACTTCCCAACCAAATGTATGGTCACATGAATGAAATTTCAGCCTCCATCTAAATTTACATTATAAAATGTAATGTATATCCTAACAAGGTATTAATGATATGTGAGGGAAATGGTCAACATCAGGAATGATGTATGAAAGTAAGAAACTGTTTTAAATCCTTAGCACAAAAGCAAAATTTTACAGACTTGGATGATGAATAAAGCATTTGTTTTCATGCAGAAATTATCAGTCACAAGAAGTTCCAACAGATATAAAAATCTAAGGCATAACCGACCATCATAATAACAAAATAAGAATAAAACTATACTCAAACCTGATATTACTTTCTGATCCTCCTAGTTGTGGTAAACTATAAAGCACATTCCAATGCATATGTTGCAAGCCCTGATCACAATGCAGTTGCATCCCTTTTATTTGGTTCAACCAAATTTCCTGGAATATAAATGGGAAAGTCAGAAAGATTAGAAATACCATTCTTTATAAACATAAAGATTCTACTTAAGAGGAAACAGATTGAGAAGAAGTAAATGAACTTGAAGAGGTAAAATTCAATTAAGTAGTGTACCGTCTCAATGACCTATTTTCAACAACACCTAAGGTGCTAGGCTTTACCAAATTATTCACCTTTCCTACTCGCAAGGGATTATCGATAAAGGAATAACTGGGTTCAAATTAGACAGCATAGGTTCCTTCACCCTTGACTTCCAAACTAACACTAGAGACTGTAAGTATTGTGTTCTTCACGTAAAAACTTGAGTACCATTCCTTCAAACAACAGTAAACATGATAACTTTTCTGCAACTTACTAGTTGTTTCTCTTTTTGAGAAAGAGCTTTATCCATCTGATCAAACAGTGCACTCCATCTCGCTCTATGTACCTCAGCAGCACCATCATCGGAAAATCCATCAGCAGAATTTCTTAAAATATCAGGATCATTCCCTTGGTTAGAGGGGAATTCTTTTGATATTAGAAAAGATAGCTCTGTTGTAATTACACCTTGCACTTTCTTCTTACTGTGCTGCAAATGCAGAACATAAAAAAACAAACAAAAATAAAAAAGTACGTATCCTAGTTTAAAGTCTAAGCATCTAATAACAATTTGAGTGAAAGAAAAATACCCGAAAGAAGTCCTTTAATATCTTGCTGAAGAAGTATTGAGATGCAACTGTGGCAGCTGAAACACAATTGTCATTTATATCAGTTTGGGCATTCTTTTCTTCATTAAAGTCACCATAAAAACATGAATCATCTTTACCAAAAGAAAATAGTTGATTCCAGATAATTCTATTGTACATGCAACAGCAAACATTGGGTAAAAGAATGAGCTCTCTCTGGGCCATCACTCAACTACCATCTTTTAACATCTATTTGCCATCACCAATTATTCTCACTTTTTTCAAGGATGTTCTGAAATAAAGAATTAGATTAAAAAAAATACTGACCTTTTACAGAAAGGAAGAGGCACTGATAAAGTTTGCTGATTCCTCATTAGACAAAGTGCTAGCATTCTCAGATGCCTTAGATGATGGCAATTTCAATGCTAGTGCATCATGCTCACTGACTGGATCTACCATGCTTGAATCACCATCTCCACCTCTTCCCTCTGAAATTGATGAATATGGCTTATGCATTGGCGCTAGATAAAATCTTGCTTTTCTGCTCATTGATGTAGCATTTGGAGGCCCATCTTCATGGTAACAACCGAGTCGATGTAATCCTGAAAAATCCATATTTCCATCACCAACTTCAATTCCACTTTTTTCATGACTTGCCTGTTTGCTTTCTGAATGCAAATGTTCAAAATTTTCAGACTTCACTAAGGCCTCTATCATGGAATGGACCTGTTTTCTATTTCTAACATGATTTATAATCCCAGGGATTAATCCATTGACAAGTCCACTTGGAGCAGCCATTTTTGTGAACCTGTCAACCTGTTCTTTCTTAGCAAGCTCCATCTTCTTGAGCACATCATTCTTACTTTTCCTTCCACGGTGCTTGGGCACTGGTTTTCCGCAATGAGAAGATGACAGTAAGGCATTTTGCATAGATATACCCCCATTAGAAGATGAAAGAAAACCATTCTGCTTCATCTCATTCGATTCTCAACGATTCTTTCTCCTCCAGTGGACCAATAGAACTTCCACACATAGAAGCATCCTTTGGCTTCAAATTTTTGATGTGTTTGTGATGAATTGATTCATGGTTTATCGAGCTAGTAGCATCTTCTGCATTCAGATCCAAGCTGATGCGTTTCGAGGTTACACAATTAATCTCTTGTGAACACAGTTTGTCAAACTTTTCTTTACATTTCGGATTGTTATCAGAGGATTCGTTGATAGCAATGCAAATTTCAATGTTAAGATCAAGAGGTGAGAGACAGTATGGACCGCTGACAAAAACTTGTCCCCTTTAGCTCTTTCAATTTGACAACCATCAAAATTGAATGTTACTGGTACCTCAGTAACTTGAGATACCCCTTCTCCACTAAACTGAAATTGCTGACTAGATTCTTTTATTTTCAAAGATTTGAAATTTTGGGCATTGATTTCTGTGCATAAATGAAAGGAAAAAGAAAAAGTTCTAACAAATGTAAGTTACATAACGATTATAAAATAGTAACAAACAGAAAACGCCTTCATTCTTCAATATCACTATAAAATTTGATTCTTTTTCCAAATTCAAGAAGAAAAGGGGCGAAAAGGCCATAAACAAGGCTACCAAAACAATAATAATTTCTAATGTTTCAAGATGATTAATTTGCCAATAATTCAAATGAACTACACCCCCTCCCCACCAAAAAATAAAAATTTACCCTCAGAGCGGATGACAGAATCAAGATCTTCATTTTGATTCGCTTAGGTGAAAACTTCATGTGTTTCTTTTAAATCATCAATGCTCCTCTTCATTCCCACCAACTGAAAAAAACAAGGAAAATGAACAACAAATTTTAAATAAAAATTTGAAGAAGAAAAAATAAATAAAAAGACAACCTTGGAATCAGCTCCAGGCATCAATGCCAAGCCTTTAGAAACGAAGGCAGAATCAGCTTGATCTTCCACTTCTTCGAAAAACCCAAATTTCAAATTTCAAAGTTTTGCAAGAACTAAGTTCATGGGCTTTTGAGAAAGAACCAAGAAAAGCTCCAAACTCTGGAAGAAATAGAGGCTTTGCTGAAAAGGGTACTTGAAAATCAGTAAAAATGAATTTGAAAGTTAAGGGTGAAGAGAAATTAGTGACTTTTAGGGTAGAATCTGTTGCCTTTTGGCGTTGGTTTTTTTTTTAAATATTAAGTTCAGGGGAATTTGGGGTTTGCTGTTTTGGATTTGAGTTTGCGGGAGAGAAAATGAGGGAGAGCGCGCTTTTAAGATTAAGAAGGTTTTTTTATTTTTTATTTATTTAAGATTTAAATTTAAAATTTTTAAACATTAAGACATTTTTTTAGAATAATTAAGTTTTGACCATTTAAGCATCATAAATTACATACTAATATGGATACAACCATTTATTTTAACTTTTGTCGAGTTGAAAAACAATATTTGAGACTTTTAAATTAGGAATCGGAGATTTTTAAATACCAAAACTTTTTTGAGTAATTAAGTTTGAAAATTCGTATACCATAAACTATACAAGAATATGGGTATACTTGTTTATTTTAGCTTTTGTTAAGTTTAAAAATTATAATTTGATATATTTAATAAGATAAATAATCCATTATACTAAAATGTCTTTATATTACTTATTAAGAGTTTATTTAAATAAATAGTGAGATTGAAAATGAAATTAATTATTATAATTATAAGATTTGATATAAAATTAAAATTAGTGATGTAGATAAACGTTTAAATACAAATATAATAGTAATAATGAGGTAAATTATAATAAGAAGATAAATAATAATTAAATATATTATATTAAATTTATATGTAATAAAAATTAAAATATCAAATATTTATAAAATTTATAAGTAATTAAAAAATAAATTACTTTTATATCAAATAATAATTTTATTAATAAATAATTAAAAAAATTATTTTGTAAAAAAGCATTTGAAAATTTAACATAAAAAATTTAAAACTAAAACAAAATTTAAAAAAAATGAACAAGTGTGAAAAAAATAAAACAAGAGAAAGGTTAAAATGAAAAGAAAAAAAAAATTGCAGTGGAACTCATTGAAGCTTCATGGGTCCAATCTCTTACCGGTGATAAAACATGATGGAGATGCTAAATGATGGTGAGATGACTAAACTCTCACATCACACCTTTTCATTGCTGCTTCTCAATCCAAATGAGGCCCAACTATCCCTTTTAGCTTAATGAGGTCTCAAGTCTTAAAAAAACCTGATGGAGATGCCAAATGATGGTGAGATCTACAACAGATAGTCGACTCAAGATCCATGTCAATATTTACACAAAAAACAGAAGAGCAGAAAAATGTTGATCCAACATATCTCTTTTGTTATTATTGAAATTTATCTTGAATTTTATAATCTCACGTTAAAAATTATAAAAATTTTAAATTTATCTTATATCTTATGTCGAAAGTTTAATAAAAATATAAAAAAATTCACTCTTATTAAATAAATATTTTGATTTTGATTTAGTAATTTCATATAGTTAAATATCAAAAAAATAGTTAGATTATTAAAAAAATGTAATTGAGTTTTTGGTTAAATTTTGAATAATAAATTTTTGAAGATTTTTTTTATTTTAAAAATTTATTTATTAGTGGATTAAGTTTGGAGTAAATCATTTTGAATTTGATCGAAATAAATATATTTTTATTTTTAATTTAAATTTATTATTTTGTGTGTGAATGCTGCGTGTGCGTGTTAATTTTTTAACATTTGTATGGTTTCCTTAATTGCTTCTGCAAAGGAGTAAGTATACAAGACACTAACCAGCAATGAAGCACTGCTTGCCTACCGTCTCAGCAGTGATTATTCTTCAGTATAGAAGAAGAAAAAGGCATGCTATATTTCATTTCAATTCAAGCAATCCACCAGTTTTTGCTTAATCCAACATTCAATTTCCTTTTTTCTTGTTCAATATATATAGTTGCACTTGCTCTTCAGTCTTCCCAAAGTTACTCCAATGTCATGCTTTGCCCAGAATTTTAGCATTTTCAACTGTCCTGAGGAAAGACAACCATGAACAATACAAAACATGCTGTATAAAAACAACTGACATTGTCATTTATATCAAATAATAAAGCCTGTAAGTTCATCTTGCAGCTGAGTTGGTTGGTTCTTTTGCTACATCTTCAAACAGATCAAGTTAAGCCATGAATTCAAAGGTTAGTTTTTTGCACATATTTCTGCAAAAGAAGTACCCAAGAGCATGAAGCAGTAGATCACAAATTGGAATATACATCTTTTAATATATGCAAAGCCAATTTTGCAGTTCTAAGCACGTCTGACATGTACCAACCAATCTTGGATTCCTGTGGACTGAGACAGTGCAACAAAGGGATCGTTTGGTAACCTTTTCGTTTTTTATTTTTTGTTTTCATTTTCATTTTTTAAAAATTGAAAATAAAAACATATTTGGTAGGCTGTTTTTGTTTCCTGGTTTTGAAAATTGAAAACAAAGCGTTGAAAAGTTTTAAAAAAGATTGAAAACAGAAAGATGGTATTTCAAATTTTTATAAACAATTTGACGCTGTTATCACACCAGTATTATTCATAAAAATTATAATTAAATTGTTACAATAATGCTATAATTACTATATTAATAAAATAATATTCTTGTTATATAAAATATTATATTTAATAAATAATATTAGATTATATTAATAAATAATATATTATATTAATACTATTATATTAATATTATTAATATTATATTATATAATATTATTATATTATTGATAACAAACTAAGCCTAAAAGTTTCAACCATTTTCTCTTAGATGTTTTTGTTTTCATATTTTTAAAATAAAATATTCTATTCAAACGTATTTTTTAAAAAAATAAATTTAAAATAAAATAAAACAAAATTATCAAAAACATAACACACACAACAATATCAAAAGAACCCTAAATTTCCACGTTTCTAAATGAATTCAAAGTCATGCATAGCCCTATGCATAAAGCTATGTTTCACATATTTCTATTTCATTTAAAGAAGTTGCAGACAGAAATTGAATTCTTGAAAACATTTGAATCGCATTGCTGTAAATAGGCTTTCAGAATTAAACTTTTTTTTTTTTTCCAATGCTTTTTAACTATTGCACTGCATGATTGATTTCCATGTGACGGTGCTTGCAGACCTTAAAGAAAAAGACAAACTGCGGAAATTGCAACATTGAAAACACACACACAACGATCTATCCAATTCTGTCATTTTTTAATAAATGCTTGAACAGAATTTTCAGTTCACCTAAATCATTCAAGAGGTATTATCAACATGCTCAATCTATTCTTTAAGCATAAAAAACATAACTTTCTTATGAGCCAAAAACACCAGCGACTAAAAATGCTTCACAGTAACTTAAATTACTGATTAAATAGAATAAAGAAAACTTGTAAGTATGAACAATTCTGAATTCTTAAGTCCAATAAGAATTTTGTAAATCAATTTCCCATCTTGACTTAACAGCCTACAAATTCAAAGGCATTCTTAATTGCCATAAATACCAAGTCTTATTGCCAATAAAAAATTTTTAAAAAAAATGATTTCCTTTTTCTTCACTTTTTTTTTTTTTTTTCAATTCCCCTGCAACAACCAGCAATTCTTGAGCTGTGAGAAAGCAGATTCCCTGAAATTATTAACCCTCACCAAACAAAAATGGGTGCACCTTAACCCAAACCCTGAACCCACCTTACTAGTCTTCAACAAATAACAAGCTGGAGGTGGTCCACACCTTTCTTGTCCCTTGCTCTGAATCACAATCCCCCAGGCCCTGGAAACCTCATCAATTTTCTCTTTCTCAATCTTTTTTCCAACCCCTTCTTCTTGTATTTGTTCAACAAAAATCACCCCATCAGGCATTGGAGTCTCTCCTTTCTCCCACTTTTGTTTCACCGAAACCCAGTTGTCTTCCTCCGCCTTTTCCGTCCTTGTTTTTGTCGTGTTGTTGTCGGAGTATACGTGGACCAAGAGGGGCGATTCGGGCAACTTCTTGACGATCTCAACCACCGAATCTCTCATCCACTCGTCTATTTTCTCGTACGACAACTCCTCCTGTTTCTTCTCTTCTTGTTTTCGCAGTGGTTGGAGACTTACCTTAGACGACGACGACACCAAGATCTTGGACGTTCTTGGTTTCGACGATTGTGGATTTGAGACCATCAAAGAACATGCGGGGGCATTTGGGATATGAAAGTGGAAAAGATTGGATGGATCATGGCGTTGCAGACAAACGTTTCCACCGCACCGAACACTAGCCACGATCGCCATTATTGTTTTCTGTTCCCTTAGGAAATTGATTTTCGTTGCCCAAGGAAACCAAAAAAGAACTGGGTTTTTAAGAGTTAGAACAATTGGACTGATAAATTTTAGTTCTACTTTGGTTTTTTGAAAGGGTCAAGACTGGATGACTGGTTTTTTATTGATTTATATATTGAGAGGTCTGGTCGTTGACAGCGTTAGCTTTTCCTAGTTTCGTTTGGAGTTGGACAGAATCAATATTGGGGTGATTTGGCTTCTAATTTCACACGTCACTTCCACGCAATTCCAACTCAATCTTTTTTTCTCTACCCCAAACCTTACGGAAAATTTGTGCATCCTATGCGTGTGGTAATCAGATGAAACCTGCCATTTTTTTGTTTTGTTATATTTATTCATTAGTTTTTTTATAAAGTTTGTCTAATTAAAAGTTAAAAAAAATTAAAGATAAAAAAAAATCAAATGAAGGTAACCAGTAAAAATCTCAAATGACTCTTTTCTCGCAAAAAATGTCTAATATAAAAAAAATAAAAAAACTAAAGTTAAAAATAAAAAGTGAAAAAGCACAAAAATGAAAGAAAAAAAACAAAAAAAAAACTCATAGAAGGTGCCATTTAGACGCCCACTAAACTCAAAATCTTAATGTTTTAAATTAATTTATCATATAATAATTTTATTAATATAATATATATAAATATAAAATTAAATTAAATTAATAATAAAATATATACTTCTATATATATCTTAATATGGATAAAAAAAGAACACTCTAAACATGATTCCACTTAAAATTTATTTTTTTAAAAAAAATTTCATCCATTCCAACTTGACCCCTATTAAAAAAAACAGCACTTATAGATTGGGATTGATACAAATCCATAAGATACTAATTGTTTTGGTATTTTTATTAATCAAAATATTTGTTGTAAAATTTATCTAATTAAAAATTAAAAAAAAGCCAATGGATTATTCATATACACCTCCATTGGCCTTATTTTTTTCACAATATTTATTTAATAAAAAAGCATAAAAAAAAAAGCAAAAAGCAAAAATAAAAACAAAAAAAGGAAAAATGAGTTCATTGGGCATTACGTGGACATCTCAACAGAGCTTAAAATGTTAATATCTTAAATTAAAGTATCAAATAATACTTTAACAATAAAATCAACAAAAGCAAAAACAATAGAAAGGAAAAAGCAAAAATAAACAAAATAAGAAAGAAAAAAAAGAGATCATTGCGGTGCTATGTGGACATCAAAATTGAGTCTAAAATATTAATATCTTAAAATAAAGTATAAAATAATAATTTTATTAATATAATATATGTATATAAAATAAATTTATTAATAGATAAATACTTCTACATACCATATGGTGAATTGGGGCAGAGCATCCTAAATTAACTTTTGATTTATGCCTATTTTCCAAAAAAATATTAACTCTACTTAACTTAATATCTTTTTTTTTTTACAAAATGCTTATCTTAAATCGAGACAAATCAAAAACACATTGAATGCTGATTGTTTTGTCATCTTATCAACTGACTTATTTATTGTAAAATTTATCTAATTAAAAACACAAAAACAAAAAATGAAAAAAAATTAACAAATGGGGGTATGACGTAACACCAACATTGACATTATTTTCTTACAAATTTTATCAAATTAAAAATATAATAAAATGAAAAAGAAAATGTAAAAGCAAAAGTAAAAGCAAAAAGTAAAAAGTAAAAAATAAAAAAAGTAAAAACCAAAACAAAGCCACCTCTATTTGATCAAGTTAGGTTAAACCCCTTATATATGAATTATTTTACTACCATTATCTATCAGTTTTTTTTGTTGTAAAATTTAACTAATTAAAAAACAATGAAAGAAAAAAGTTTAATCGGGGTGTCACGTGGACACTTTTATTGGTTTTTTTTTTTCAAAAAATTCATCTAAATTTAAAAAATAAAAAACCAAAACAAGTTAAGAAAAGATAAAAAAAAAAAAAGAAACATAAGTGCTATGTGACACTTTTAAAGGTCAAATAAAAATCAAAATGAATAAAATTTATATAATTGATGGATGGATTGATGAATGAATGAATTACATTTTAATTACATACAAATACAGTATTTTTATTTAATTAAAAAAATTAAATAATAACATTATTAATATAATACATATATATAATTAATTAAATAATTAAAAATATAATTTTAAATATATACTTGGGACAAGAGAAAATACTTTAAACTCGCTTCTAAGTCGACTTTGATTTTAATAAAGGAAAAATATCAATCAATCCCAATTTTTTAAAAAACTCATACATATTGAATCGGAGTAAATCGAAACCCAAAGAATATGGATTATTTGTCATCCTTACACCTAATTTTTTTTCTTACAAAACATACATAATTTTAAAAAATAAAAAACTTCAAAAAAATAACAAAAGAAATGGTTGAAAGAAAAGGAACCAAATGGGGTTACTATGAATTTATTAAATTAAAATACTAAATAATAATTTTATTAATATAATATATATAAATATAAAATTAAATAAGTAATAAAATCTATATTTATATATATATATATATATCTGAATGGGATAAAATACCCTAAACTTGCATCCGAGTTGACCATGATTTTGGAAAAAAAAAATCTCAATTCATCTCAAATTTAAAAAAATGCAACTATTGGATTCAATGAAGCGATATCCATTAGATATAGATCATTTTGTCATTTATATCTCTATTGACGTTTTTCTTAAAGAAATTATTTACCAGTTTCTTTTATTGTAAAATTCATCTAATTAAAAAATATAAACAAAAAAAAAGGTAAAAGTAAAAAAAAAGAAAAAAGAAATAAGATGCTATATGTATAATCCTGTTCAAGCACTAGGCTACGCTTTCAAACCAAAAGACCTGCCTCAGTTTTAAAAAGACTTGGATAAAAAATTAAAATCCGTTAAACGAATTTAAACACAATTTAAGAAAAAAATTATTAGATGTAAGGATAACAAAATAATCCATATTCTTTGGGTTTCGATTTGTTTTAATCCAATATGTGTGAGTTTTTATAAAATTAGGATCAATAAATAATAAAAAAGAACCATATGGGTATGCCATGCGAATTTATTAAATTAAAATATTAAATAATAATTTTATTAATATAATATATATAAATATAAAATTAAAACAAATAATAAAAAATATATATTTATATATATTCGAGTAGGATGAAACATTCTAAACTTGTATTCGATTTTATCATGATTTTTTTAAAAATTCTCAATCCATCTTAAATTTAAAAAACATGACTATTGGATCTAATGAATTGAAATTTATTGAATACTGATTATTTTGTCATCAATTCTCCATTGACATTGTAAAATTTATCTAACTAAAAAATATAAACAAAAAAAGGTGAAAGACAAAAAAAAAAAAAAGATGCCATGTGCATAAACCTATTCAAAGACCAGGCTATCTATCCAAACTCGAAGACCTATCTAAGTTTTGAGAGGGTTTAGATAAAACATTAATTAAACGAGTTTAGATATAATTTTTAGGCTTGTTTAAATTTCAGACTTATCCTTAAATAAACAATTTAAAACTTGAGTCCAGTTTGGCTTAGCTCGAATTTACATATATATAAATTATTTATTTATATATATATGTGAATTATATATAAATTAATATACATATATAAATTAAAATTAAAAATTATATATATTTTATTAAACTTAATTTTTATTTTTAATTTATTTTTATGTGAATTAAATATAATCCCATTAAACTTAATTTAATCACACTTTTATTATTTTTATTATATACATTAAGTTTAAAATAAAAATTAAGTCTAACAAAATATATATAATTTTTATTTTAATATATGTGTGAATTAAATATAATCTCATTAAACATAATTTAATCATTTTTTTAAGTTTTATTATATAAATTATGTTTAATAGGTAGGTTTAAGATTTTTTTTTAATTTAATATGGGTTTAGAAAAAAATTTGAGGTAAAAAATTTTGGATCAACCAGATCTTAACAATTATATAAGCTATTAATACTAAATATAAGCTCAGCTTGAACCCAGCTCGACCTGGCTTATGATCTAAACTTTTTTTTTTCATAAACTTTTTTTTTTCAAAAAATTTTGATCTAATTTAAAGAAAGAAAAAAAAAGAAAAACTAAAAATAAAAAATAAAAATAAAAAAGTTTACTACGTCTTTTTTATCTTTGCAAAAATAATAAAAATATTCATGAAATATAAATCAAAATGAAAAGCAAATAAAAAAAACATATTAAATATAAATAAAAAAAATTAGGACACATGGTACCTCCAAAGTTGTTATTCATATGCAAAATTTTTCTTTTATATAGATAAAAGATAAAAAATAAGAACAATAATTTTATTTATTTTAAAATAAATATACGATGTGTAAAGTTTATATGGCAAAAATCTGAATTTATGTTTTAATTTTATTTAAATTTGAAAACATATGTAAAAGAATTAAGTAAATAGAATACACTATTCTTAGTTTTCATTAGCCTTAAATTTTGATTTTAACAATTAATGAAGGACATACAATTTAAATTACCTCGTTAAAATAATAGTAATCATGTTATGGATAATAATAAAATTTTTATTATAATTCATAACTAAATTCATATTTTTTAAAAAGAAAATGTTTATTATGCTGAAAAAACAATTTTTTAATAATATCATCAAAAGTATTTTTAAATTTTATCTAGACTTAACATTTATTGAAGTTATCTAGAGGAGGAACTCTTTCAAATTAAGGCAAAACTTAAATAAAGATTTTTATGTGAAATTTATAAATTTTTTTAATGATTTAATAAAAAATTTAATAAAAAATCTAAAATGATAAATTGATACAATTTAATATAAAAATTAATAATATATAGAAATGATTAAAAATGTCATTTATAATTTAAATTAGATAGATATTTATTCAACGGTAAAAATTTTATCAAAATTTTTATAAAAAATATATAAATTTTT